AAGATTATGGGAACGATTTTGAACGCTGTACTGAGCACCATCAACACCTCCGACTGCCGAGATCACATCGAGTTGGAGTTTATTAAGAGTTAAAAATTACTTAAACACTCATGGAAGTGTATTTTGATTTGCATGATTAGTTTATAAATTAACTGCTATGCCTTTCTCATTCAGTTTATTCAATCTTGGTCTTAAATTAATCAGATCTTCTGTTGACAAGCATGTGATTAGTGGTCTACCGACTTGTCTGCATATACATATTCATAATTACAACGGCAAGCTCATCTGCAAAACGCTTCAAGCAGTTGGACGTTTTGGCTGCCGATATATTGTCAGGCCATTCAACTCTAGCACGACCGTTAACGACTATATCCACTTGTTGCTGTATGCAGTCAAAATTTGCACATGCGAATAATCAACGAGCAGTTGCCGCAATTACTTCGTATCACAAGCGTAGACTGCTGAAATGTTGAACATTCGTAATAAAGTATATGGATTTCCTTTGCTGCTCATTTGCCGTATTTGTTGTCATTTCTAACGCTGATTTATATATGAAGATGTATGTTATATACGGTTCTGTATTCGTAAAGTCGTTACATTTCCTTGTATATTTTTTATAAATCAGTTCAATCTCTCATAAAGGGCACAATATGTTCTGATTTCAGTTCTAAAGTTCCTCTTCAACACTTTGCCAATACCAATGAGAACTTGAGAAGCGGTAATTGTCAGCTGTCAAAATTACATACATACAAAGAAGAAAGCCTCAGAACACACCGGAAGTACACTTTCAGAACTTTCGATATGACGTACGTTGACAAAAGTTTTCATATAAAATAAAAAGTCCAACGATTGCGGTGCTACAAGTGAGAGAGTTTCGCATGATAGCAGATAGAGATATCACAACTCTTTAAACACAGTATTTGCTGAAATTTCATTTACAGTTAAATCACGGCTTGTACCTGCAGCTAGTAATCAATTAGTTCGAGACAATAAGGTGGATGCATAAAGACCTCGCAATCAAGCTCTCTGAGCTTCTGGCGAGTCACTATCGATGTATGTAGCTTGGCGGTGTCCCGATGGAAGACAATTTCTCTTTTATTAATCAAAGCTGGTCGCTTCCTTAAGACCGTTCTATTGTTAACAGCACAGGTACGAATTAAATAACCTCATATACAAATAATTGTATGTACTTACATACTTCTAAATACATCAAGCAAATAGTCGCCAAGCAACATGTCACTAATGTCGTTTTTGTGTTTTTTATATGAAATATTTCTTATAAAAAGACTAACTGCACCGTTTTGGAACCGAAGGCCCACAAAAAAAAAAAATCATTCAAAAGGGCAATGTCTCGTTTATTTTAGTATCGAACAGAACTATAAACAAAAATTCAACTAATCTATCTTCAACTATACTCTAAATGAGCGTAGTGCAGATCACCGTCGAGTAAATGCATACGAAGTAACGCTTAATGAATGGAGAGGGTTTCAAGTGCTTCACGTCCTTCAACTCCTGAACTCAACCTTAGCTTTCGTATTAGACATTGAGTACGATTAGCTAGCTCTTTTTTATATCAACACAGGTAGAATAGGAACGAGTTGGAACGAGTTGGAATTTCGCTCTCTTCGTGCGTTTTACCACTGCGCTTCGCGGGAGCTTGACCAGCGCTAAAATCAGATTACAGGAGTTCTTTTTTCAACCTTACAAAATACTGCATATAGTGGACCTAATGCGATCGCTATCTTGAGGATCAACCATTGAACGTAACCTAACCTATTAATACCCAATTGTAACCTATGATAAAGATATGCGTTGGAGACTAATTCATTCCCAAATGTATCCTATAAAGTTAGTAGTAGTAGTTTGGGGTGTACTTTCGTTTAAAATTAAAAATTTTTTTTTGCTTAGATGAGGGTAAAATCTGTAGATTATAAAAAAATAAAATTTTTGGACAAAAAAAAACTTTTTTTTAACGTCTAGAGGCGGTTTTTTTGAACAAAAAAATTATTTTTGGTTTAAACTCTTTACATTTATATAAAAATTTACCGAATGTGAATGGTTTTTGACTCAAATTTAAAATATAATTAATAATAATTATTTTAACGCTTGTTTTAAGCATGTTGTCGTTTAAAACTTATAAGGACCAATTTTTTTTTAAAGTTGATAACTTTTAATTGGCTAGAAAGAGGACTCTCCAAAGCTTCTAGAACACTTATCAAAATTTTTTTACGAAATAAAAATTTTAACTCGAAACTTTACTTGAAAAGTGAGTGGACCGCCTCTAGATGTTAAAATTTTTGGTTTTTCTTTTTTTCGATCCACCCTAATATATATATATCACATATATATATATATATCAATGTTGTTGTTGTACATAGTACAGTTAATATATTATATTTGTGTATGTTTGTTTTTGTTGTTGCTATCGCGCATGCATTGACATAGTAAGCGTGTTTGTTGTGTCTTTTTGCGTTTATAAAATCTGCACTTCATCGTACTGACCCACATTTTACCATTCCTTTTCCTATCCATCGCGTTTCGCGCGCAAAATCGCTGTCTCGCATACATAATGCAAATGCGTGTAAGTAATTGTTGTTGTTGCAATCGCTTTTCGGCTGCATTTAATGTTAGCGCTTACATGCATAGCTGCTATAAACACTGTTTTTATAGTATATCAATAAAGCTATAGTTTTCTTTCAAATCACTGCCGACATGGAAGTTTGCGATGGCTCGTGTCAGGCTGCAATGCACGGAAAAGTTGTGGGGTATATAGTATGTGAGGAAATCCGTTGAGAGAAAACTATTCGTAATTTCCAACCTTATACTCGTACATTGTTGGTGGCTAAGGACCATGAGTTACATTTTCGATATGGCCGTAAAGCTTATCCAAAATCTATAAAACAAGCCGGGACAACAGTTATATAACTTTAATTAGGTATCCGATATAATCCTCCATCACTGATAGTCCTTAGCTATATCATAGTCTATATTAGGGTGGAGCGAAATTTTTTTTTTTTTTAGCCTGAGTGTAAAATTTGTAGATTTCAATAAAGAAAATTTTTGGAGAAAAAAAAATTTTTTTTAACATCTAGAGGCGGCCCACTCACTTTTCAAGTAAATTTCGAGTTAAACTTATTTTCAGACAAACCTCAGTATAAAAATTACCGAATTTAACAGTTTTTGACTCAAAATTTATTTTAACGCTTAAGGAAAGCATGTTGTTGTTTATGATTTTTTTTTTAACTCCAATAATGACCACAAAAAAATTTTTGAAGTTGATAACTTTTAGTTGGCCAGAAAGAGGATTCTCCACAGCTGCTAGAACACTTATCACAAATTTTTACGAAATACAAATTTTAACTCAAAACTTTACTTTAAATGTTAAAATTTTTTTTTGTTTCCAAAAAATTTTTTTTTTTTATTCTACAAATTAGACCTTCAGGATAGCTAAGCAAAAAAACCCTAGTCTATATATACATTTTTGACCAGAGAAAGGCACGCAAAGATAGCGCGCCAAATAATGACAAACTCTGGGTATCCAAAAAATTTTGAAGACGAGAAACTGGAAGCATTACACGATGAAAAATGTTGCCAAACACAAGCAGAGCTCGTAGAATCTTTGGTTGTCACTCAAGTAGTCATTTAAAAAAGCCGGAAGATGCATTTAAAAGCAAGGACCTTAAGCGCCATTTGAATGAAAGCCAAGTGACACTGAAAGACGATTTTGGATGTCAAAAATGCTGTTTCAACGCTACAGAAAGAAGTCGGTTTTGCAGCGGATTGTGACTGGTGATAAAAATGGATCCAAAACGACATCTTTAAACGCAAAAAATCATATGTGAAACTTGACCAAACAGCCAAATCAACGGCAAAGCCAAAAATCCACGACGCCAAGGTAATGCTCTGTATTTGGTGCGATCAGAAGGGCATGCTATATTGAGAGCTTCTAAAACGGCGTGAAACCGTTAATGGAGAACGCTACCGACAACAGCTCATCAAATTGAAGTGAGCGATTGCCGTAAAACGCACAGAATTCACGACTGGATACGAGGTAATAATTTTTCATCAGGACAACTGAACGCACGGTCTCTTGTTGTAAGACCGGTTAAGAATTATTTGAAAAATAGTTGAAGTTTTGGCTCGCACGCCTTATAGCAGGGTTAAAGGGAAGCCCAACTTGTTTCAGTGTGAACGCGCCTCAAAATTTGCGTTGTTTTGTAACATTTTCCATTGTAGCCAGTTCGGACAAAGTAATAATTTTTCAGCATTTAAATTGAAATACCTAACATTTATTAAGATAAAATATTATTAAACAAGTATTCATTAAACATATGAAGAAACTATTTAAATCTTTTTTTGTGATTTTGTGATATATTAAAACAACTGATTTTTGAACTTTCAATACTTAATAAAGTGTATATATGTATTAGTTCTCAATTAATAAATGTTTTTTTTATCAACTTCAATTGAAAATTAATATTACAAAGCGTGGCATCACAAAAGATTTCATCACATGCATTTCAATTTCGAGTTTTCTTTAATTTTTATTGTTTTTGAAATTTTTGTTAGTGATCTTCAACAGCGGCAACAAATCTCTCTGTTCACATTTTTTTTGGTAGTATTTCAATCTGGCCGTCCTTTTTTTCCAATTGCTAAACGTCAAAACCTACTGAACTTTGACAGTTGGCTGAGATCAGTTGGTTTTGACGTTTAGCAATTGCTCTCTCTAATTTCCAGAGATGAGTTGGGCATCTCTTTAGCTCTGCTTATAGCCTAGCTCTTGCCGCTCCTGACTAGCATTTGTTCCACACAATGCAAAATGCAAACAACTGAAAATATTTAAACGTAAATATAAAAAGTTTCGGTTAAACCCCACTTAGGTAGGTCTTCGTTGCTTGCAATTTTTTTTATATTTTTTTTTTTTTTTTTATTTTATTTTTTTATTTATTTTTTTTTGTTTTTATTTATTATTGTTGTTATTATTTTGATAATGCCGATCACAGTTTTATTTGCGTACTCACTTTTACGAGTAATCAAAATAACTGATAAGACAGGGCTTGTTTTATGAAATCTCAAGTCGTTCTTCGAAGAGTAACTTAGTCTTAGTTAAACATTCGAACTGTGCAGAACATTTTAATAAAGTCAAAGTAATAAAATAAATATATAAAAACAAAATGCTAAAGGTTACATTTTTGCTAATAACTCTGGTAATTGGGTCAATAGAAGCAGCCAAAATGGTCTGCTATTATGACTCAGCGAGTCAATTTAGAGAAGGTTAGTTGACATGGAAGTGATTGTGATCATTTCGCAATTATGTGAGATGTATATATATATATATATATATATATATATATATGTTATAAGTATATATATAGTTAAATATGTGTGCAAAATAAAAATCGAAAATCGTAAAATATGGTTTAGTTTCTAACATAAAAATTTGTCATTTCGTACTCGAACAATTGGACTGATTCACATCAGAATAGAATATAGAATGCGTTTTTTCACGAAAAGGAAGCATCGAAAGCCTGAACTCCAAATCAGTGTGGAATCCGAACTAAACTTCCTACAGATCTTGAAGGCAACACCGTCACGTATTACGTCAAGAGTGCAACTTATTGTATTATATGCCTCATTAGCTATATCAATGCACTTACCATACAGGAAATCATATATATGTTCTAAGGTTATCAGCGCACTATGCACATATGCATATACTAACCACTTATTGTCAATATTTCTTCGCGCAAACAAGCAACTTTTACGTTTGCATTCGTGTTTTGAATGTTTTATAATAATTTGAAAAAAAAAAACAGAAATAATATAAATTTACTAATAAAATGCATTAAACTAACTTCATCAGGTCCAGCAAAATTAACACTACAAGATTTGGAACCAGCTTTGCAATTTTGTAATTATCTCGTTTACGGTTACGCCGCTATTGATCCAGAAACTTATCAATTAAAGCCGCTGCACAAAAATTTGGACATAACACTAAATCATTACCGTAATATCACCAACTTGCGACGCAACCATCCGGAGCTTTTAATACTGCTCTCGGTTGGTGGAGATCGTGATTTGTTTGAGGAAACACCAAGCAGTTCATATCTCAGCGTGCTGGAGAATCAGGCACATCGAAACGCGTTTATTAACAGCGCCATAGCGCATTTGAAAACATACGATTTTGATGGCTTGGACTTGGCATGGCAGTTCCCTAAAAATAAGCCAAAAATAGTCGAACATATAATTAGACGATTCTGGAGAAAATTCAAAGGTTGGTTCTCTTCACCGAAACTTGTCGATGAAAACGCTGCCGAGCACAAAGAACAGTTCACCACGTTGGTGCGAGAGTTGACAGACGCTTTAAAGTTTGATGGACTTATCTTGACATTAACCATGCTGCCGCATGTGGACCCTAAACGTAGGTTTTTCCTATAACACCGTGCCAAAAAATTTATTGCATTAGTACTCTATTTTATTATTATTTTTTTTTTTAAATATATTTTTCAGTTTTCATTGATGTCCCAGCGATTATCGGCAATGTGGATTTCGTCAATCTTGGTAGCTATGACTTCCAAACACCAGATCGCGATCCTAAAGTCGCTGATCATAGTGCGCCCATATATGAAATGTTTGAACGCGATCCCACCCACAATATTGACTACCAAGTACAGTATTGGCTCAATAACTCAGCACCCAGTAATAAAATAAATATTGGTGTACCAGCTTATGGTCTTACTTGGACTATGTCATGTAAGTCGGGTATTACCGGTTATCCGCCGATTGAAAAAACACTGGGTAGAGGTGCTGCCGGCAAACAGTTACGCCAACCTGGTTTAATGAGTTGGCCCGAAATTTGTGAAAAACTACAGGCTGATAAAGAATTGGGCGGCGAAGATGCGCTCTTACGCAAAGTTGGCGATCCAAGACAACGTTATGGCAGCTATGCTTATCGTGCAGCCGACAAGAATGCACACAATGGCCTGTGGATAAGCTATGAGGAACCCAGCACTGCAGCAACTAAGGCAAGCTATGTATTCGCAAAGGGTTTGGGTGGCGTTGCTTTGTTCGATTTGTCGCTGGACGATTTTCGCGGCCATTGTGCCGGTGATAAATACCCGATACTGAGAAGCATTAAATTTAAATTGTAAATGTAATTCTTTGTTAATTAAATAGTATTAAAATGAGAGTGTAAAAACTAGAGACTATAATGGTGTGTTAAGTTTTCAATAAGAGCCAACCCTTGGGGAGCAATGTCAAAACACTTAGCGTGTATCTATGATAAAGACGCTTTGAAAAATATACTTCTACGCTGAATTAAGAAAATATAGTTTATATACATATATTTCATATATATTTTCTAGATACAAGGTTGAATGAATATAGTCAACTCATACGTAGTCATTGGAATATAGTCAACTCATACGTAGCGACCCTAGCGAAAGTAGATCTCTGATGTAATAAATCGCTGACCACTGCTGACCATCCAGATCTCCAGATTCGTTGTCTCTTCTGACCTCATTTTGCTAGGGCATTTAAAAAGCCAAATATACGACCGTTATCCTCCGACCATAAGGTTTCAGCTCTTAATTTACGTTCAGAATGTTGCATGCATCATTGCATGTTAAACAGAAAATCTTTTGCTCGTACATATACCGTAAATATGTATTTAGGCTTACGAGTACATATTCTAATCCATGGTCGTAGCTATCCTTTCGCTTGTGGTAGGATCAAATTTTGTGCCTTACTGCAATTACTGACTGACGACTGACGAAAATGCAGAAATTTAAATGAAAATTAAATGCAAAGTCGTGTTGATAACCGATTTTGGCAAACTGTCACTTCGATTTTACCTTCTAAAGCGGTACAAGAATTATTTTCAAGCTTGATAGGATTTTTTGGAAAGAAAAAAGCAAAATTGGAGAGTTCACTGAAAAGAGAAGTTAGAGAACGCTATATCAATGTCAAGTGAGTCGTGAGAAATTCATTTCCAGAGATCTACGAGGCAGTGTCGGCGGTCCTGTACTAAGCTTTATATGAAAATGAGGCCTGGCTATAGTAAGAATTTTAAACTGCATGTCTCTCAATTTAACCCTTCTGGACACGCTACTGTGCTTATATACAACTATCTGTGTACATATTTATATAATGTACGTGTTATGTAAATGAATATTTCGTGTCAAATAATCTGCTCGTCCTTTTTGGTATGTTTTTGCAGAAGCAAACATCAAATAAGCGCTAGTTGGTTTACTAGCTTCATTCACAGTACGTTTGTGGTAATTTAGCTGCAAGCATTCAACTTTTCTGTGGTGAAAATTAAACATGGGTATTATAACTGAATCATCTTTGAAATTATTTCTTTTAATTATTTTCGGTACAATATTCGCTGTAAGTAATTTTATGCAATTTGTCAAATAAAAAAGTTTTCCATACAAGCACTTGAGTTGGATCAGTCAGTTTATATGGCAGCTATATGCTATAGTTGCCCGATATTCTTGGGGAGAAAAGGAGGTGTGCAACATTTCAGAGCGATATTTCAAAAACTGGCGTATATACAAATAGACAGACAGACGGACATCACTAAATCATATCAGCTTGTCATGCCGATCATTTATATATATGCTAAATAGGGTCTGCGATGTTTCCCTTTGGGTGTTAATATACCCTGTTTAGGGTATAATAAGAGGATATATAAAACAACAATAATACTTGATGTCGGGATTTGAAACCTATTGGTCGTTCGGTTTTACGTTCCGTTTTGTTAACGCAATATTTCTAGTATTTTATATATAATTTTATGGTCTTTGAAATAAGTCCATATTATTTTTGCCACCAGTGAACAATTACATATATATATATTGTATATAAAGTATTTTTGAAGCACCCGATGTTTTCTGAAGTTTAAAATTTGATTTCTCCTTATTTTTTACTTTTTCAAGGTCTCAACAGTTTGCATTCCCAACATTTCGATGGAGGACTGCACCCGACACGAGCAATGTTGCTCAAATTTTTGCCATCCAGATTTTGGTTTGTGCTCATTTGACGTCAATAATATGCCACCAGTGCTGTCCTAAGTGAAGTGGCCAGAATAAATTGTTGCTAAAGACTACACGTAAACTTTGTTATCAATTTCAACTATAACTACATCAAATAAAACTTACTAATTTACTAATCATAGCTTTTACATAAATTTGCGCCGATATCTTAGCGCCATCCGTTGTGGGTTTGTGGATAACAGAGCTTTCTATACAGCGCCATCTGACGTGAGCAGATAATGTTAATGAATAGCTACTACACAAACCCTTACGGTGAATTTAGCGCTATCTGTCGTCTACTGGCCATGTACACATGTTTCCTTACAGCGCCCTCTAACGTGTTTTGGTAGATTAACAGCTTTTCAGCGCGCCATCTGGTGTTGAAAATTTTACTATTGAGAGTGTACAGAACCGGAAATGTTTCGAATTTATATTTCGAAAATTTTTATTTCATTTCCGTTGTTTGAAATAATTCCAATGTAGTAAAAACTGTTATAGAAGCTTGCGAAAACAGGCGCAAATTTTAAGAGAGCTTTTTTAACGTTCTAAATGTTATTTTTCATATGAGAAAACATCGCGAAATCAAAACTTCGAAAATAAAATTACTCCAGCGAACTTACAACAATGAGAAGCCAAAGAACTTACCACAATGGTAACAGAACACGTGAAAGAACGAGAAGGTGTAAACCGAATTTTGTATATGAGGCAATATGTGTAATGCTCACAGAGCTAAAAAACAGCGAGTGGGAAATTCACCATTTTTTAACATATACGCTTTCATTTGGCAGAATTGTGTAAAAACCGATGTTCGCCAACAGAAAATTGCAATCAGCTTGTCCGTTCAGTTTTCTGTTCTCAAATACACTTATAAGGTGTTAAAAATCTGCTTGGTTTCATTTTAGACTGGTGAGTTTGTCAAGGTGCTGAGACTTTGGGAATACATGTGATGGAGGAGAGGGTACAATAGACCCTAGGTCGCGGTGCATAACCTCATATGAATCTATCTATGTGGTACTTCATTCGGTTCCTTCATGAAATGGGCGAAATTATTTCCTGTTCCTTTATGGAGTACGCAACTCTCTTTCCAGAGAATGTTAATGAATTTATTAGCATTCTCTGGTACACCTCTCTCTCTCTTTTATTTTCGAAGTTTTGCCAGAAAACGTTAATAAATTTAATAAATTCATTAACATTCTCTGTTATAAATTCATTAACATTCTCTGTAATAAATTCATTAACATTCTCTGTTGCAAGTTTTCGTTTTCTATTAAAACTGTTCTACAAAGCTGCCATAAAAAGTTTAATTCAAAAAAAGGGGAAAATTTTATATGCACATAATTTTGCACAGTTTTGTTGCCACTGTGTTAGCGCTTTTTATTTACCAACACCAGAGCAAACAATATTAATAAATAATAAATGCTTATTAAATTTTTGCAAGTTCTGCCAATCAAGCGCGATAACTGCAATATCATTGCTGCAAATTTGTTTACAGACGTGTCTGGATATAGTGAACTAATTATTGCAAAGTCTGTTCACTATATTCAGTTGTTCACTATATCAAGGCTGATATTTTTTCTTCTCAATCCATGCAATAGTTTTATCATAACTTTCAATAGCTTTGGTTTGGCTCTGTTCTATTGAAGCATTCTAATATAAGCTTCCAGCATATTGCTGTTACTTAGGCGTCCAGCTGCTTCCTAGCAAGCATTAAAACTAAACTTGCACCTTTTAACGTTAAAGTTTTTAAAAACTCAGTAATATCATCCTTCATTACAGCACATAACAACAGATTTCGTTTGTTTGTAATAAAACTTAGTTAAGGGGGTATTCTAGTCTAGAGACATGAATTTTATGTAATTTTTAAACTGTCGTAAAAAAAAGACAATTAATATTTTTACCTTCGATTTTTTTTATTAGTTATTTATTAATGTTACAAGAGTACAGAAAAATATTAAAAAAAAAAGTTAAAAGTTTAAAAAACTGGCAGCTGATGAAGTTAGGAGTCTCTCCAAAAATGCACATGAGCATAGCCATGATTTCAACACTCCTAGTCATCTGAAATGAAAAAAAAGATTATCAATCTGCAATGATGTCGCAATTGTATGAACTAGCGATAAGTAAAAAATTTTTTTTGACAAAACGGCAACGATTTTTTAACCATATTTTTTTATTTTCTAGTATCTTTTAAAAATAGTGAACATTAAAATTTTGTGATGAGACTAATTCATACTCGGGAGAGGTTTATAAAGAAGAGTCTCTAAAAATTTCAAGTAAATCGCTCCGGCAGAGCTCGAGAAATCGTGGGCATCGTATTGCAAAAGTCTGGTCTGAGAAAAACGCATTTAAAGTTTCGCTTAAAGTCTTTTGTTCGATTAGACCCAGCCAAACTAGTTTGGAGGCCGGGTCGGTAAAATGTCTAATCTCCGAAAATAATTTAAATTTTCAAAAATCCTCTCGTAGACATTCTCTTAAATAGTTAAACTTTTTTTAAATTCTACACTAGAATACCGCTCTAAGCGCATCACATTTTGTTTCATGGGCTGAATGAAGAGCATAACGTTTGATGGCATATACATAAATCACGAATATAGAGCCGTTTGCAGATTTAAGCTCATTTTCTAGCGCATGAATAGGTGCGTTCTCAAGTTATATGATAGCTTTAGATTGTAAACCCTTTTGCTGCAAAAACTTTTGACTAAAGACAATAAAAAGGTAAATGCTTTATAACAATGTAATGGATTTTAATTGTGTTATTCAATGCAACTGAGGGACGTAACAATGGTGCAACCATGCTCGTAAGATATCTGCAGTCTGCCATGCAGTCTTGAAATTGCGATATTCGACAGAAAGTCGTAAACGTGCGTAGCTTCTTTGCGCGCTCAATTATTATTGGCTTGCTCACCAGTTGCATTTGTGCATGCCAGAAAAGTGATTCTAACCTTTACTGCTTTTCTCTCCGCTTCTCTGTTCTTTCATTATGGCTTACGTACGTTGTATTAGGAAGCATTTTCCAAAACAAACCGGTCTCATCTGCGTTGTAAATTTGGTGTTTGCAAAGCTTAAGCTCATAAATAATATTGCTGAGCTTATTCTTAAATGGCTTAATAGCTCGTGTGTATTTTTCCGCTGGACGCTATTAACAGTTCCGAGGTGAGACTTAAGTGCGGATAGCCATACGGCATGGAAATTACCTTCGGTTTCTTTAATGTCAGCGTGCAACTTTATCGCCTTTATCTTTAGTAACTAACCACTGACTGGACAGTTGGTTTTTTCGTTGTTCCACAAACCAATTGTACGCTCCATAAGTATCGCGAGTGTCCCAGGCGGACTTTTCCGACTTGTTCCACAATTTCACATATTTTCTTTTAAAGTAAGACATTTTGTGAAATAGATGTTAGTAATGTATAATAACTCATATAATCTGTGCTATATTTTTCAGCTAATGCTTTCAGATTTACAAGCTATTACATTTGATGCATGGATCGATTGCAAAAAAAATATGTTTATGTTTTTATCTACAATTAAATGTATGTATGTATTGTATTAATTTGCGATTTTTTTATTATATTATATTAGATTAGATTATTTAGACTTCATAAATTAAACAAGTCAAACAAACAGGGTTACGAAAAAGCCTATTACTGCTTGCGAGAAGTCTAACTGATGTCAGATTGTCATGAATGAATGGAGAGCTGAGCTGAGTAGGCATGAATCAGGTGAAAAATTACTTTCAAAAGATTAGTATGCGCAGTGTAGAATAATTTAATAAGCCGACTTACTCAGTCGCCTCTGCTCTCTTCTGATCGTTCAGCAAAACAGCGGCGCGAAATATATAATCTGACTTCCGGCATTGACACTTATTTATTTTGCTACAAGAAATTGTATATCTTTCATGTATTAACTAGCGTAAATTTCAATGTTTTTTTATTTAAACAGCCAAACAATAAATCTTAGCGCTATTACTTGATTTTGACAGCTCTCTCACTGCCCCCTTTCATTAGTGTTTGCAAATAGTTTTCGTAGTTATCTATAAAAAATTGAAAGCCTTAAAAATTTATGAAAGTTACACGCCTACAGTCTATATGGTGAAATTATTATCTACAAAATATACAATGTTTTGAGCGACATTATCTCGCTGATAGAGAGGTGTCTGCTGCCTGCGATTGATATAAAAGCATGTAAATGCTCATTAGCCAACAATTGTTCAACATTGATTTTCTGTATAAAGGCAATAATATGGCTTTTAAGACTCTTCTCACGCTGCTCGCTGTGCTCCTGTGCGCCAATGCCGTCTTCGGTGTGAATGTCATTAGCAAGGCAACTTGGGGTGGTCGCGCCGCTACTGGACGCTCTAATTTGGCCAGCAATTTATCCTATGTCGTTATACATCATACCGCTGGCACTTATTGCTCTACAAAAACCGCCTGTTCTCAACAAATGCGCAACATGCAGAACTATCATATGGACTCTTTGGGTTGGGCTGATATTGGTTACAACTTTCTGATCGGTGGTGATGGTCAAGTGTATGAGGGTCGTGGCTGGAATACATTGGGCGCTCATGCCACAAGCTGGAATTCCAAGTCGATTGGCATCTCCTTCATGGGCAACTATAATAGTGAGTGATGTGAAACTGAGTACCTGGCTCCGTTTTATCAAATTAATGATTTCAATTCTTCTGCAGACAATGTTCCAACTACCGCTCAGATTGCTGCCGCCAAGGCTCTGCTTGCCGATGCCGTTTCACGTGGACAAATCAAGTCTAATTATATTCTTTACGGTCATCGTCAAGTCGGCTCTACTGAGTGTCCGGGCAATAACTTGTATGCCGAAATAAAGAAATGGTCCAATTGGCGCGCTTAAGTTGACTGTGTTTAGTATGTAAGGATATTGGAGAAATTAAATGTTGGTGCTTAGTTATAGAAATATCTGGTGTAAAATCGGCAATGTACCGTGTATGAGTGTAGAAGATCTTTGTGCATTTAATTCTAACCTAGATATCTCTCCATACCTACTGACTTTCGGGCTAATGATACTCGTACTAAATGCTTTAAAGGCAAAACGATAGAGAAACACATAGTAACCAGTTCCAATGCTCAAAAGCCTATACACGTTCTCAAACATGCTAGATGAAAATGTAGCCGTAAATATAACAGTCTTTTTTTTAGCGGTTATCCTCTACGACTAACCAACTCGGAGCCCTATTCCACAAGACAAAATGTCTGAGGAAGTTTCATATGAGCATGAAAGAGTTTGTAATTATTTCTTAGGTACGCTCGAAAGCCTATCCACATTCTCAACGCTACTGCATGAAGCTAGAGCCGTCAATATAAAAGTCGTCTTTAGCGGTCGCCCTCTACAACTAACCAATTCGAAGTTCTATTTCACAAGATAAACCAGCTGACATATTTTTTTTTTTGCTTGTAATTCATAGTTCTTGGTTATTTCACAGGTACCGAGCTCAGAAGCCATTCGTGGTCATCTTTTGAGCGGTACTTACCTTTCGAAAGCACGTTCGGCCAGATGCGTCTAGAACCTTGGCTCACAGTTGAATTAGTGGCAGGTTTGGTGAAGCCATTCCAATATACCCCGTTGAAGGTTCGAAGTCTAAATTCCGCGGCGTATTTCCACTATACGTCAGAGCTTTGTTTCCTTGAAAGGCCTTAATATATAATTAGGACTCGCGTTGCCATGTTCTGCACAACCCATGGAACTCGTCAGACAGAAAAAAAGCTTTAATGAAGACAATCGAGATCTTTGGCGGGAGACTGTTGCTGTTTGTTTTTTGTGTTGTGGTTTATCTGAAAATATTAGCTCATTCCATTAATTGGCTCACTTAGATATTAAATAATTTAAAAAGTTAGAAATTTGATCAAACGAATTCAAGGATCAAACAAAAAATAAATATTCTCTACATTATTTGAGCGTATAATTTTAACGAAACGAAATCACGTGGGAGCTGTCAAAGTTCATGACAGTTACCAAAATGCTCAGTGCACTCTGACAGTGAACGAGAAACTTTTGCGGCCAACTGACAGCGCACCGAATACACAAACGAAAGCAACAGTACGCCGGCAGATTCAACGCACCAATCAAGCGGGAGGGGGGGGTACGCGAAAACCACTTTTAAACAAACTTCCGGCGGTTCAACTGAATCGCCAAGGTACGTTGAGGCAGAGTGTGAGATAAATAATAGTGTTAAGAGTAGAGGATGTGGACACAACGCGCCCAGTTTTAACTAGTGAGTGAGCAGCGCCTGGAAATTAACTATTTTATATTTCGGAACATGAAACGTCAATGTTGTTACATTAACGTCATTTCCACTACAACAAAAGGAAAGCCGTTTGGCATCATTTATAACAACGCTAACACGACGAACACATGAATACGAGTCTATTGAATTAGACACAACGCAGGCTGACAGAGACAGAGCGGTTGAGAAGAAGGGAGGGAGATAAAGAGTGGTAGTGAGCGGGGTTACATAGAGGGCGCGCGTGTCAGAGGTCAGAGGTTGTGTGAGTGCGCGCGAAAACAGCTTCGACTGGCGCTGGCTGGCTGACTGGCAGTCGATTACGTGATCTGAAATTTAATATTTTCTTAACACACATACAACCCTGCATACACTGGCACATGCATATATTCAATGAGTATTTGTCTGTTGTGTTGTATTTTTGTAGCTGAAACGAAATGAAATAAAATCAAAAGTAGAAAGCAACGGAATAAACAAATGAACGCATAGACGGACAGAAATAATAAGGATTGACAGGAGAAGTAGTAGAGCAGGAGAAGAGAGTTGAGAATAGGAAGGTTGTGTGAGCGAATGGAGCGGCAAGTGTACAAATAACGGCAATGCAAGTGGAAGTAAGGCAAATGGAAGCGAGTGAAGAAAATAACAAAAAAAAAACAAAAACAACAACAACACAAACAGTATCAAAATGGTGCCGCACAAGTGAAGCATGGCACTGAACGGTAGCATCCTGTAGCATTATCTGCGCGGCAGGATAACCAAATGTTGAATGCAGCTGTGCGGAGGCGGTGCGGAGGCTGCTGGGTCCAAAGAAATACATGTAAACAAGAAATGAAAACAAATGCAAACAAATGAAAGAAAAATAGACGTAAAGTGCGTGACTGCGTTGCGTAAGCGTACGAGTGTTACTCGGGAAGTCATTGATATTTCGTAATAATGTTAAATGGGAGCGCCATCTTAATTTAACAACGCGTTTAAGAAACTTACTGTATACTAACTGCGCTTTGACTAAGTTCACATTAAGTTGGATGGAGCTATGGACTCATCTGATCATTTGCCACACAGTTTACATATTTTTACAGGATTGGGACTTAAGCAACTTCACATATGATCATAGGATTCAGTAGAAGACAGTTAAAACTATTCAAAGCATCATATCAAGAGCTGACGACGCTTCTGCTCCACTTTAAAGGGAGTCACGTCTTCATTTCCGATATCCGACCTTTCCTTTTCGGAGCATCAAAGCTCACGATGAAGGTTTGAGAACAAAGGAGCTCTGAGTGTAGCTCGGAGCTATTGAATAGTTGGGGAACAGGTGCAGTTAGGTTCTCTGACTGATCCTTAAGAAGGAAGGATCACACTTGAAATGGCAGTATTTTGTAAAGCCAGAAAATGCTTTTAATTGCTTCCCCTGTATCCACAAAGGGCCTCGATGCCATCACAAATATGCGTCTGCGTTCTATTTCTATTTAAGCTAGTTTACTTATAAGTCTGAATGTGTGCGATTCAAGGTCTGCTGGCCTTGAGCTCGCAAAGGCGGTATAGTCCACATAGTAGGGTTGAGGTGATTCTATCTCTACTGCTTACTTGAAACTTTTACAACTCCATGCGGTAAGCGGTGCTGTGGGCTGTTCTCATTCTACTGACAGTGAAACTGGTGACCCTGCTTTCAAGTTCATAAGCATTAAATCCACCCGCGATTCTGCTGTGAGCCAAAACCCATACTGGTTTAACTGGTAAGTAACTGGATGACGCTGCTAGCGAATCCAGGTATTCTTTAACTAATCTTAAGTGCATGGTAAGTGAAGACAAGAAAAATACTAGCAGGGCTAAACTCGGTGTAGCGGTGATCCAAATAATCCGGATTTGAGTCACAGTGTTCAAGGATTCTGGCACGTCCAAACTCAAAATTAACTAGATACCTAAATTGTCTAAAAAATTTAAATTATATTCAACGGCATCATTTCTTTAGACAGTCTTCAATTACTTTCTTTGCAAAGCGATGTAGTTCGCTGAAACCATTTAAAAAAAAAAAATCAAAACCTTAGCTACGGACATCTCAAACTACTCTCGTAAAGTATTTAAATGATGAATAAATAAGAAAGCAAAAATTACCTACAAATACCGTATGCTAATTTAAGTTTTATAAGAAACTCATAAAATTCCGGTTAAAAGTGGAAATAACAAACACAAATGCAGAAGGTAAATATACAATCTTTGAGTGTACCAGTGATTGAAAAGCTGTACCTAAGTAATGAGTTTGCGCTGCCAGCTTCCTTTTTCCCGCTGGGGAGCTTGTTTGTTTTGTGTGTGTGGGCGGCTTGTAACTCTTAATGGCTAATTTTAAGAATGCAGTAAGAATTTTACGAAAAAATAGTTAACCGTTTTCGCATACAAAGTAGTGGAGAGTTCATTTAGACAAAAAAACCGAGAGCCAGTAAATAACCGAAGCAATAAACGTTTCGTACGTGGAGAAAGCCCTACAACGCTATTTATAGAGATATATAGAGAGCAGCGGTTCTTTCACTGTAACGACTTCAAAAGAGATTTGCTATTATGTTGAAAATCCTGGCAACGTCGGTTGTTGAATCATTGTAAAAAGATGGTGGCAGCAGCAACATGGCTGGACTAGATTGTTTTACATTAGAGTCTTAAGATCTCAGCAGATTTCTATAAATATTACCAGCCTCGTGTTTCTGTCTTTGGGAATGTTTCTGTTAAAAGTTTATTGTTATAAATTTGGATCGTTCATATTATCTAGACTCTACTGGTTTCGGTACACATTTTGAGTGTGAGTCTGTGAGAGCTCCGACCAGCATCGGGCTTCTTATTCTGTAATCGGTTCTATTATAAGCCAATTTTTAGCCTGATATAAATCTGGATCGTTCCAACTATGTAGACTCTACTTGATTGTTCCGGGCCACTATGGAAAAACTTTCATAAAAATAACGTCCTGAAACTGAGCGCTTTCAAGACAGGGGTTTTCACAGCCAAAAACTAAGTCCGAATGTATTCGTATAGAGATTTCCAAATATCCGTACCACCAAATAATTGAGGTGTCACTGCGTTATGAAGTGCTGACGCGATGGATCAGACAGATCTTCTGCCCTAGTAAGCCAAGCATCATCATAGCGGACGGTCACTGTTATTATAGCCGAGAGTTGTAGTGAATAAAATTCAAAATTACGTTCACCAGGGGATCTGACTGCTCAGGATCTGTGTAAGAAAACCTAGAGTAGACATGGGTGACGGTTGCTCAGATGGCGTGGCTGAGTGAGCCAGCGTAAAAGAGTACTAGGAGTAACTTCAGGTTGAGAAAAAAGAATACATACAGAAGAAACTGGAAAAATAGGTGATTGGTTTTTGGCATATATATAGGCTTAAATCTTTAATAAGTGGTATCTAAGAACTTCTCGGCCGGCAGATGGCTCTCATACTCTTAGACGACGTGGAAGAGCGTTGCCAGCGTGAAATAGTACTTCGAACAATATCAGTAAGGTCAAGAAGTATACGTGAAGAAGGATCTAGCACAACATGCTATTTATAGACTCAAATATTACATGTATCGTTCCAGCTTCCATCATCTATTGATATCATTGCATATTGCTAGCAAATAAACCTAAGCTTTCATATTGAATCATATATCATTTACTAACCCAAAAATATATACATAGTACGACCCGCTCCCACTCACTTACACTAAAATAAACAAATATATCATATG